GGTGTGCAGCTCTCCTGCCGCTGACCTTTTTATGATTATTATTTAAGGGAAAAAGCAGAGGCAAGGAAAGGAGAAGGGGGGGGGAGGAGGAGGAGGCAGCAGGAGGCGGCATGGGAGGGGGAAGAGGAAGGGAGCTTTGCAAAGGAGAGCTGGCCTCTCGGCAGCCACTTTATGGAAAATACCCCTACATGGCTCACGGTCGCCCAAACTCCCTGCCCGGCCTCTTGGGAGTCCATGTTGCCTGGGATCAACCAGGCCGTGACCCAACAGGAGCACGTTCATGCGTGCAGTGGCCGTAAGAAAGCCCCTGACGGTCTCCTCACTCAAGAAGGTTGGAAAGGATGAATATGTTGGCCCCCCAGCTGTGCTAGCAGAAGGAACAGATCCCTCGATTTTCACCCAGGAACTGTTCCTTGGTCTGTGTAAAGGATCACCACCATCTTATGCTGGGGCCAACTGGCCAATTCAAGGAATATTTCACTTCTGGAGCAAAGCTAGAGAACCCTTAGGAATGAGACTCTCTTGATTCCTTATCCTCAGAAGCCCAAGGTTGAGCAATACAGTTATTAAATGTAGCCCATTCTTCTTCTTTTCCCCAGCTTATATAGCTACGTCCCCTGACCAAGCTAGCTTCTGTCCTCCGTATATTGAGCAAATCCTTTCTTTTTTTAACTCCATGGCTTAGATATCCAGCCCTATCCCTAACATACCAAAGATTGCACCAAGAGCTAGCACAACAGTAATTGACCCTTGCAAGGTGTACATGAAACACGCATATAGGAATTTACTCTTGTGCTAACAAGCTGGTGGATCTGAGACAGCAGAGCACTATCATCATCATAGCAACAGCTTTCTTGACTAAGTTATAGGTAAAAATATGCATGGGGAAGAGATCATGGCTTCCCAGTGCTGGGAATGGCCTATCACAGGGTATGAAATTATAATTCAATGAACCTTTCTCGTGGTTTAAGACACTTCTGGGTTCAATTCACACAATTACTTCTGGTTAAGTTCACTGGGGTTGTATAGTTTGGGGGAAATGTACCCAAGGTCAGCCTTGGGTCACAGACTGGTCGGTCAATTCGTGTGACAAGAATTCTTGTCACAAGAATTGAGCCAGTTTGGTCTAGTGGTTAAGGCAATTAGGAGAGGGTGAATTCTAGTCCCACCTTAGGCATGAAACCCAACTGGGTGACTCTGGGCCAGTCCCTCTCTCTCTCTCTCTCTTGGCCCACAACCTCAGGCTCTGGAGACAAGCCCTGTCAATCAATTCCTATGGCAATCAAATGGATCGACACTTGGTTGATTGGGAAAAAAGCAGACCCTGCACTTGTGGGAAAATGCTAGGAAGAAAAAGAAAGGTTTGGGGAGGTATTACTATAAAAAAATAGATCATCCTTAAACTATAATACGGTTCATTAGATTGAGCACACAAATGGTGGTGGCTGTTCCCCTTACCCAGATCTAGGACTTAGTGTGTTGTGTAAACTCAGCATCACAACTGTTCCCTGAGCATTCGTATGTGAATTCAGGAAGTATAAAGCATCCACTGTTTTGGTCATGTGGCAGTCATACCGTGGAAATGGTGGTGCGAAGCAAATGTTATCACCATGTCTTTGAACTGTTCAGCTGGCTTTGGTGTACTTTATAGCTTTTAAGTACCAGGAGCCTCTCATAAAGCATTGTGTAGAATATAAAGTTTATATTTCATTATAAAATAGCATAGCAAAATCCCAAGCAACGCGCGTGTTCACCCAATTTCTCTCCGCGTTTGGAAATTTGTCCTTCAAATTCACAAAGGTTTCATGCTTATAGAAGACTCAGTGTGTTATTAGCAAATATATTACTTGCTAGTGTCAACTGAGTAGAAAGGATTTCAAAATATAACTTATGTTCAGAATTTTTTTTCCCGATAGAGGCATGTTTTGATTTCAATCAGTCCTCAAAGCAAACTAAACAAGATTTCCGATGCAAAGCTGTGGAGCCCAAATCAAAGTTTAGTCAAATGAAAAATGTAGAGGTGAAATTCAAATTTAAATCTCAACAGTTGCCAATAGGCATGGTGGCTCAAATCTAAAACTGTGCTTTTAGGGAGCATTTTAGAGGCATGGTTTTAGTCTGATGAAGGTATACAGAAGGTGGTCTTTTAAATTTTTATTCTTTTGCAATGGACATAGGGATTGTTTTATTTTCCATTGCAATAGCTTCCTTTTTCTCGCACTCTTTCTCATATTTTGGCCATTTAATGTACAAAGACAGATACTAAAAACGATTTGAAGTGCACATTTGTCTAACTTAAAAGCTTTCTACCTTATCCTATTAGTAAACCAGGCAATAAAAGCATTATCCAATTATGAACACCTGAAGTTTTAAAATACAGCATCAAAAAGGACATTTTAGTATGTGGATTTTTTTAATCCATCAACTGTTATTTCTTTAAAAACATACCAGGGGTTTTCACTGAAAATAAAGATAAGGGGAAAGAAAAACAAATCTTCTTTTAATAACACTTTTTAAAAGGACGAAGAAAAACACATATGAACACAGCATAGAGCAACTCTGCAACATTTAAGGAGATACAATCTTATGAGGAATCCGTGACAAAAGATCCCTGTAAAAATATATATACACACACCAGTGAGTGCACACATGTGCACACACCCACACACACAGGAACACAAGAGTGACCTATCCCCAGCCTCAGCATATCTGGCTGGCCATCTGGACCTGAGTTTCAGACCGAATTCCCCAAACATGTTACCAAAACCAAGAAACTATCAGGTCCTCCTAACATTTTGAGAATCTCAATTGCCTTCTTGATTGGGTTTTTTCCTTTTCCCTCCTGTCTGTAATTGTGAACATTGATCCCCAAAATAAAAATAATCTACAAATGTGGTACCCAAAGTCACAGTCACCTTTCGCCTCTCCCCCTTGTTCCTGTGTAAAGGACACTCAAGTTTTCTACACCTCATTGCAACAACTTCAGTGCTTGGTTGGGGTTTGGGATCACCCCATTTCCAGCCCTACCTAAGAAGGCACCAAGGACACAGACCTTCATACGTGTGCATGTACACACACACATTTACTACTCTGCCCAGAGAAAGAGAGAGAGGGAGAGAGAGAGGATGTGGGGGTGGAGGGGGGCAGTTACTACAGGCTGGAAAATCGATTTCTGCTTCTGAACAAGCTTCACTTCCCAGACCTCCAGGTTCATTAGCACGGACTGGGCTTGACACCAATACAATTTCCACACCAAGCTGGCTGCAGCAGAGCTGGGGGAGGGGTGCACACAGAGGGCCAGCTCTGCAGCCACTTCTCTGAACTCCCCCCACCCTGCCAGCCAAGGAGAAGGAGGAGGAGGAAGAAGAGGAGGAGGAGGAGGGCGTCAAGAGCAGATTCTGCAATCGCCTCTTGGTTTCTCTTTGCCCAGATCACATCCCAGCCTGCCTTTTTGCACCTTCTTAGGGTTCTTCCCCGTTCGCCCATGGATGTCCCACTGCCCATATTTCTGACCCTTCCCCATTCCTAGCAACTCCTAAATCTCATCTGTCCAATCTATGAGGAAAGATGACTCTCCCAGGATCTGGTGGGTAATAGTAGAAGCATCCGTTATCCAAATGCCTGCTTCTCCTCTTAACTTTGGGAAGCAGGAGATAAAAAGAGTGAAGAACGGGAGAGGCCACAGTGAATGCCAATTCTGGCATACTGCATCCATCAGGCCCCCATCCAACCCACCACCTCATAATCTTAAAAGACAGAAGATACATTTCCCCCCAAGGGCACTTAAAAATGTCTTTCGTAGATTCAAGGGACTCCAGCTCCCAAATAAATCACCCCTGTTGCTTTCTGCCCTAACCACTAGTCTCCCATCAACCATCCTCTCCTGCAGGGTCGGCCTCGCCAACCCACTCTGCTTATCTTTTGATTTCAGTGCCCACGGTTGAGTATTGGAGCAGTACAGGAACGCAAAAATCTGTTTAATAACCACCTAGATCTCTATGAATGATGAGGGTGAGGAAGAGGAGGAGGAGGTGATGGGCATAATGTTTTGAAGCAGCTGAACAAAAGGAAGCAGAACAACTTCCTGTCAAGTATGGAGATTAAAACCCCTGGATTGAAGGCTGAATGTTTGAAAACTGGGGAGAGCAAGAACTCCAGAAACATTCTGCAATTTGGCGAGGGGAAAATAAGGGGGGGGGGTCCCCTTAAAGCACAAGCCATATTTATTGCCTCCACCTAGAGAACTCCATGGAGACCAAGAATGGAGGTTCTAGAATTGAAATCTAGAATTTACTTCGAAGTAACTAGAGGAGGGCTCTGTGAGAAACATTAAGGTGGAAAGAACTGGCTCAGTTTTAAACAAGAGCAGGTAAACTAAACGTATAGGATTAAACAGAGTGGTACCCGTGAGATGACCACTGATTTTAAAACAGAAATTACTGTATTGGAGTAACTGCATGATGGAGGCTGTACCTGAAATTCCAACCAGGTATTGGGGGGGGGAGGCAGAATTTGATGTGCTGAGCCAAATGAGATTGGGGGGGGGAGGCCTTGGGATTTCTGTTAGGATCCCACAAGTGCCTCCTCTCTATCCCTCACCTCTGCCCCCCTCCCAATTCCCCATGGTCCCAATTTCTAAAAAAAACCCCAAAACCTCCCCATCTGCCGACCAACCTCTGGAACCTCGCAGAAACAATTGGGGGGGGAGGGGGAATGCGGGAAGCTCTTTTAAGGGGGGGGACCATTGCATTTACACTTCTGAGGCTGCTGCTGGTGCTGGGATCGCGACGGCTGGGAGGACACAGGAGCCAGCCGGTTTTTCCATCCCCCCCCCCTCTCTCTCTCTCCGCCAGCCAAGAGAAGGGCTTCCCTCCCCATCCCCGCGTTTTGCCAGGGTCCTCTTCCGACCGGCGCCCGAGCCACCGGCGCCTCCAGGCCGGCAGCTGCCTCTTCCCGCTGCTGCTGCTGCCGCCGCCGCCGCCGCTACCATCCACCCCCTCTGCCCCCCACCCCCTCCGTCTATCGACCGCAGGATGCCGGCGCCGGAGGTTCGATACGGAGCAGTGACACTCCGGATCAATACCGCCTGAATAAAAACCCGCTCGCCCCTCGCCACTTTCCGCTTTCCCCTCCTTGCCTCTCTCGCCTCCTCTTCGGCGGCCGGGCGGGAAGAGAGTTGGGGGGCGCCTCTCACCGCCCTGGCTGGGCTTGGCGGCCGGGCCGGGGTTGGGGTGTCCCGCGCCCTCTTTGGGGGGCTCCCTTTCCCCTCTCTCGCCCGGCTTCCTTCCTCGGGCTTTCCCTTCTTCTTACCGTTTGCAGAGCGCAGGGCGAGCGGCGATTTGAGGCGCCATCCGTGCTCCGGGCCGGCGGATCTTTGGAAGACCAAGGGGACCGGTAGTGGGATGAACATTGCGAGGACCTGTGAGTGACACTCCGCATAACCCCACGGAGGGAAGAAAAAACAATATAAAGAGAGAGAGAGAGAGAGAGAGAGAGAAAGAAAGAGAAAGATAAGGAGGGGGGCAGGCGAGCGGCAAAGGGAGCCGGGCGCTGGGTGGGGTGGGGGGGGGGAGACACACGCCGGACGGGGGATGCTCTCCCGAGAGTGACAATCGGCGCGGGATGGGGTGGGGTGGGGGTGGGAGAGGGGGTGGGAACGGGACAGAGCTCGCCCTTCTCCTCCCCTCCAGCAAAGCTCCGGCTTTCGGCGCTTACACACGTGCGTGCAGGGGTCTGGAGCCAGACAAGTGTGTGTGTGTGTGTGTGTGCGTGCGTGCGTGTCCGCCTGGCAAGGCCGTGTGGGCTTCGGTCACTCGACCGGGACCCTGCGGATCATTTTTAAGGCTTTTGCAACAAAAAAGAGAGAGGGGAAAGGAAGGGGGAGGTGGTGGAGAGCATGCATGCGTGCGCGTGTGTAAAACACACCGATCGTCCCTGTGAAATGCGTGTTTGTCTTGCCCCCCGTACAGAGACCACTGCTCTGCCCCCCCCCCCGCTTTAGCCTAGTCCGAATTTCTCCTCTCCCCTCTTCGCCTGGCCCCCTCCCGTCACTCCCAGCCTGCGATTCCCACTTTATTGTCTTCTCCGTTATCTCTCGCGCGCTTCTCCCCCCCCCTCGCCCCTCCCTCCCCTCCCTCTCTCCCTTCCAACCGCCCCGCTTTGACAGATGACATCCAAGCGAGCGACTTGCCGTCCCTCGCAGTCGTCCGTCCCCCGTCCCCCCCCCCGCGGGCTCCTCCGCTTCCAATATCCCCCCCCTTCCTTCCTTCCTTCTTTCTTTCTTTCTTTCTTTCTTTCTTTCTTTCTTTCTTTCTTTCTTTCTTTCTTTCTTTCTTTCTTTCTTCTTTCTTTCTTTCTTTCTTCTTTCTTTCTTTTCTTTCTTTCTTTCTTTCTTTCTTTCTTTCTTTCTTTCTTTCTTTCTTTCTTTCTTCACTCTTTGCACAAGTACAGTCCTCCTTACCCAGACAAAAGCAATTTACTCCTTAGGTGTAAAGCTTACTGTGGGTGTAAGAAAAAGAGGAGGGGAAGCAGAATTGGGGAAAGGGAGAATTACAGAAACCCTCCCCCCCCTCTCCCAGCAAATAATCTTTCTTTTTGCCTGCCCTTCCGTCTTCAAAAATTAACAGCAACACACACGCGCGCACACACACACACACCTGACACCTTCTTGCGGGTCAAACTCCGCTTTGGCGGCGCTAAAAATAAGCCCGCGTTAATCGCCGCGGAGTTTCTCCCCCGGCTTCCTTAAATTAACGTGTGTCACCTCCAACAGCCCCCATCCACCCCGCCCCGCCGCCAATCGCGGCTCCTTCCAGGTTTATTATTACGGGAGAGATTTACACGGATAATCACTGCAAAGCACCGCGATAATAAAGGGGTGACCTTCCTGCTGCCACCCCCACACCACCCCCCACCAGCCCCCAGGATACATAATTAGGCAGGTTGGTGGGGGTTGGTTTTTTCTTTCTCTCTTTTTTTTTTTTTGGCAAGCAATAATTCTTCCCCGCCACCGGCTTCCACCCAGCCGGCCTTCTGCTTTCTCCCACTTTCGTTGCAGAGTTCAGGCCGCCTTCGCCTCTCCCGGAATCGCCCCGTCGTTTGAACCCACTTCGGGTCTCCCGAGGAGAGAAAAGCGAGCCCGAGCAACTCCTCCGGATCCAGGGCGAGCTCTCTCCGTTCGCCGCGCTGCCCCGGTTCCCTCCACGCCCAGGCAGGGTCTCGTCGCCCACTTCGAGCCCCGGGAAAGACCCCCGGGAAAGAGATCGTTGCTGCTGCTGCCGCCCCGGGCGGACTTGGGCCATCCACCGCTCCTCCTTTCGCCCCCCCCTTTCGGGGGTCAAAGGAGGCCAGGAGCGGCTCCAGACCGGCCGTCGGGGTCGCAGTCGCTTCCCCGAAGGGGCTACCGAGGAGGCTTCGAGTCTCCTCGATCCGGCCACGCAGTTCTTGGCCCCGAACCGCCATCGCTTGCGGGCAGGAAATTCCGACTAAGCTAAATAAGAGCGAGAGCCACTTTTCGGTTTTTCCCCATTTGGGAGAAGGCAGCGGGGAGAAAGCAGGTCCTTGCCTCTTCTCTGTCCTGGGGCTACTTCTTTCACTCCCCCCAATCCTTTCGGCGTTAAACCCACCGGGTTTCACCGAAAGGCCGAGTGTCCAGGGCCAGCCCAGCCCGAAACCCTAGCGCTGCTGCTCGTCATCGCTCCGGTTTCGAAGAGCCTAATATTTCCTCTTCCTCAATTCTCCCCTTTATTTCTCTGGACCAAAGTGGACCTTCCTCTTAATTCCGCAACTCCTGATCGGCAGCCTATTTCCAACCCCAAAGGAAATCCACCGCCAAGGCTATTTTTTTGCATCCCATGTGAGCTCCCCTTTTGTGCATCATTTGACACCCTCTCCTCCTCCTCCTCCTCCTCCCCCCCCCCAATCCTAGAAAGTAAACCAAGGAGGCTAAAGGGGGGAGGGGGGAGGAATGTATATAGTGAGAGGAATGTATATAGTGAGTGTGGTAGGGAAGGCAGAAAGAAAACCGGAGCCAGTATATGAAAGGAAGAGTGAGGGGTTGGTGGTGGATGGACAGAAAATGTGATGGAAATATATTACTGACAGGGAGGAGAGAGGTGTGTGTATATATATTGTGCGATATAGAAAGAGATCAGATTGATGGTGGGGCAAATAGATGAATATGTATGGGGCAGAGAGGGTGGGGGGGGGAGAGGGTTTCGCCAGAGTGAAAAAAGAGAGAGGAGAGAAAATAGCAGAAAGAGGAGGGCAATTATTTGATTCAGGACCACCGTGTGGAGGTCAAAAATTAACTGCCGCTAGCATCGAAGTATGTGGTGGGTGTCTTGGGAGGGTTAATAATATGTCCCTTCTCTCTTTTTGTGCCTAGGTCACAAAAAAATGACACACAGGACACACCTACGCAACCCTAACCCATTGTAAGAGACATTCCCCCTATATTGTAACAAAAGCCAAAACGGAGGTTTTGGATTTGCTGTTTGATTTTCTTGCCCGGGAAAGAGGCTGCAGTTGCGTTCCATTCCTGCTTCCAGAGAGAAAAGAAAGGTCTGTACACGCTAATAATAAATCACTGCTGGAAAGAGGAGCTGAGTTATCACAAATCTGCCACCCACCCTACAAAAAAAAAGGGGGGGGAGGACCGTACAAAGCAGGGTCACCTAATAAGTCTGCTGTTTTCACAAGGGCCACTTCAACCAGTAAAAGTGCCACAGCCCACATGTGTCATTTAAATGTACCTTCAGAATCGCGTTGTCCCACTTCCTAACCTAGATTAACAAGATTCAAAATGCTGCTTCCCAGACAAGGGTGGCCTGTGAAAAAAATGCTTTTTTCTCTCTGATCTCCAGAGGCCTTCCCTTTCAGCCCAAGCTAAACAGAAATACTCTGTTCTTAAAAAAAAAAAAATACGGTGGATATGTTATTTTTTTTCAATCCCCACCCATTCTGTACTAGTGTGTACTTGGCTAGGCACAATAAGGGAAACACAAATGGAACAGGGGTGTTTTTAACATGCAACCTGAGACCCAAATCCCTGAGACCAGAAGGGGAGAAAGGTATAAAAGTAATTGTTCAAAATAACTGCTTTCCAATACAATGGCTGCCCAAAGTATTTACTATTACCTTTATGTATTCTTTCAATTTATACTCCTTTTTTTTTCTCTACAGCAGTATTCAAGTATGGAAGAAGATAAAATCAGAGCTGGATGGGAAGATGGCACAGGGAATAATGGATAAAAAGAGGGTTTATCCATATAGATATATATATATATATAAACGTTCAATGAGATTCTTTAGGTGAGCTGAAAGCCACTGGGATTTTCAACTATTTTGTTTCTCATAAGCTGGTTCTCCTTCATGCTTATATCACAAACTGGTTTTAAAATTGTTTCAAAACTAAGGCCTGCTTGATAACAGTTTGCTAAAGCCCTTTTCAGTGAGAACACCCATTCATGCTGTTCTCTGGGCCTTCATTCTTCTCCAGAGAACATACAGAGGTGCGCATGTGTGTATGTGCTAATTAACCCAGCTTTCTAGCTGCAGTTCAGAGACAGTTGAGTGCAAAACGGTTTTCCACACAATTAAAAGATGCAGATAATAACTACACACACTGCATGGAGCATCCTGTCTGTTTCTTAGAAGATGAAAGAAGAGTCCCTATCCATATGTGGGGGTTGGGCTCGACGGTATGTTTCCTGCTACTCAGAATTGTATGGGCAGACTAAATTCCTAGATGCTTGCATCCAATTAAAATATGGATACAGCAACAGGTTTTTTGATGGGGATTTTTTTTAAAAAAGGATCTAATTATCTAATTATTAGCAACAAAGATGATTATGGGACTGTCTGGAGGCTAAAACAAAATAAAAGACAGTTGATGGAATTGGGTATGTCTAGTTTAATGAAACGAAGGACTAGGGATGACATGATAGCAGCATTCCAATATCTAAGGGGTTGCCCCAAAGAAGAGGGGGTGGATCTATTCTCCAAAGCACCTAAAGGCAGGCAAGAAGCAATGGGTGGAAACTAATTAAGAAGAAAACCAACCTAGGAGTAAGGAGAAATTTCCTGACAGAATAATTAATCTGAAACAACTTGCCTTCAGAAGTTGTAAGTGCTCCAACACTGGAGGTTTTTAAAGAAGAAATTGGACAACCATTTGTCTGAAATTGTATAGCGTTTCCTGCCTGAGCAGGGGGTTGGACTAGAAGACCTCCAAAAACCCTTCCAGCTCTGTTATTCTGTTATCCATAGATCTTTCTTGCTAAATTAAACCCATCACATCTTCCTTTATCTGAATCTTTTAAATTAGAACTAGTAGCACCAGGCCAAAAAAAGAAATATGATCACAGAACATGCGTATAGATGAGCTGAAATATTAAAAACCATCATGTAAAACAGATGAGAAAGCATTCTTGTTGGTTTTTGCCCATCCAAGGCCTCTGCAGTTCTAAATAACATTCTTGCTTTTATCTAGAAAAATTTTTCTCCTTCACTGAGAATTAAAGGTTCGGAAATATGCAACATCCCTCCCATTGCTGACGTGTTAGCTCTTAACCTATGCTTAATAGCAGGCCTAACCCCGTTCCAAAACTTTAAAGAGCTATGTAAACTCAATACTGCACAACATCAATGAAGATTTGATTTTTTTTTCTTCCATAAAATTATCTAATAGGTTTTGTGGACCTTCTTGAAAAAGATGCTTTAAAAATGAGGAAAGGTCCTTATTATGGTTCTTAATTCTAGAGCCTTGCTAAAATTCTGAAGCTTTGTGTATGCGTGTGTGTTTTAAAATGCTGTTTACTAATTTCCCAGCAGTTAAAGAAAAAACCTTAACAGAGCTTTGAAAGGAAGAGGTAATCCTTTCTTTAAAGGGATAAATTTAATCAGAATGGCTCTTTCTCTTTCAGAAAGTAAAATAAAATTAAAAGGGCATTGAGGCAACAAAGAGAGGAGAACGGAAGATGGACTCCCTTTGTTGATACAGAATACTCACTAGGGTGTCATCACTGAATGTAAGAGGGGGAACATCATCATTTTTTTCCCCTTTCCTTTTCTTTTTCTTTTCTTTTTAGGGTGCAAGTGTTTAAAAAAAAGCTTTCTATCCTCAGTGCAAAGAAGTGGAGATATTTTTTTTAAAAAAAAACAACGATTGCTGCAAAAGGACGACAGCGAAGTGCCGAAGGAAGCATCGTCTGCGTAACACAGAAGAGAAACATCTGGGCTAAACCTTCAACATGTGGGTGGCAGGGTCTCTGTGTTTTTGCGTTACTTTATTCCTGTCATGGGTATTGATGTCAGCAGGCTTTGGAGACACAAGCCTTTCTACTTTTAGCAAAAACATCATCCTAAATCTTCACACCTTTTCCTCAAGAGGCCAATAAAACTGGGCAGAAGGCTGGTGTGCAGGGAAACCCCATTCGGTAATAATCTATGTCACTTTCCGAAAACTGTACGGTTCTGTTGCTTCGTGCATGCAAAATACTCAATAAAGGCAATTCTGGATTTTAAAAGGTAGAACAAGGAGAGTGCTGTTTATTTGAAATCAGGGGCCCCCACTAAATGAAACAGATACTCTATAGCCATGATGGCGAACCTATGGCATGCGTGCCAGAGGTGGCACGCAGCGCCCTCTCTGATGGCACGCAAGCCATCGCCCCAGTTCAGCTCCGCTGCACATGCACGCATGCTTCCCACCAGCCAGCTGGTCTTTGGGTCTCTGCCGCACATGCGCGGAGGGTGAAGCATGTGCGGGGGGCTACACACTCATGTGGGGGGGACCATGTGTGCATGTGGGGGGGCAGGGTGCATGCGGGTAGTCGCACACCCATTGCATTTTGAGGGTTCGGATGCGCGCATTCACGCTTTGGGCACTAGGCCTGGAAAAGGTTAGCCATCACTGCTCCATAGGAATCGCATGCATAAATATATTTTATCCAATTATTCTGACTCCGGATTAGAGGCTAATAGAAGAGGCCAAGGCCACTTTAAAGAAACTCTGTTTTGTAAAGGTTTGGGTGTTGGACAGATGAAGCTGTGTTCTCGATCCTTGCTCTTCACTTGGAATTACAAGCAATGTTACAAACCTGAGCAAAATAATTGGATGGTGATCATGAGGTGACGGGGTTATTTATATAGCTTTTTTTTTTTTTACAATCTCAAGCAACGATGGAAGAAAGTGTACACACAACAAAAATCCAAGCAAGCCGAGGCACAAACGGTCCCATCAAGTTTCTGCTCAGTTTTGAAAGGGTCTTGACTCTTCAGCCTTCCTTCTGCAGGACACCAAAGGAACCACTGTCTAGACACAACTGGAATTCCTAGCGCAGTGATGGCGAACCTATGGCACACGTGCCAGAAGTGACACATAGAGCCATCTCTCTGGGCACGCCAGCCGTTGCTCATTGCTCTTCCGGGTTCCGGTGTGCATATGCATGTCGGCCAGCTGGTCTTCGCGCACGCATGCATGCCAGAAACTGAAGGACCAGGTGACCGGGGTGCATATACATGCCGGAAACCAGAAGCTCAGCTTCCCAGCACGTGCATGCATGCCGGGGAGCTGCTCTTTTGGTTTCCGGTGTTCCCACGCTTGCATGCCACGAAGCTGCTCTTCTGGTTACTGGCATTCCCCTGCATGCGCGCGTGCTCCCGTTTTGGCACTCAGTGCCAAAAAGGTTCCCCAGCACTGTCCTAGCGCCTTCATGCATCTTTCAATCCCATTATTTAGCTTTACCCGTTGCAGCTTCTTAAACTAATCTGAGAAGATTAACTATAGTAATACCTGATTTACAGACCCCATTCTTTCTTTAAGCATCCACAGAGAGACACTAGCATCAAGCATTTACGTGTTGGGAAACCAGGCGGCCAAACTTTCTTTCATCCTCCATTGGGGGTGCCTACAATGTCCATTAACTACATATGGCCTATCGTTAAAGCAGGTCCTAACATTCCAGTCAAAGCTACCATGTTTCTTCAAACTCCCAGCTTCCTTCCATGCATTTATTGCATTTAAATTCCTATTTTAAACTTCCTCCTGGAGTTCAAGAGGATGATCGTAGCACTGTCTCCTCCAACTTTTCCCTGCACATCCATTCTAACAATTGGCTGAAAGGAGAAGGTTCAGTCAGGCAATGAGTTCCCATAACAGGGTGAGCCAAAACGTAGGTACTCTCACTGCTAGTCCAAAACTTAATCCACTATGCTGCTACTCTCGTGGATTCTTGTTCACTGCTTCTGGCTAGGAAATAATAGAATGGTTCTGAAGAAAGGACAAAAGAGAATTTCAGGAGTGCACAGTCAATCCGTGAAGTGGCTTTTGTCTAGACTGGCAATATCTGTTTTCTGGAATACATGCTCTAAAATGTAAAGATTCATCCCTAATGCTCAAGCCTCCTTGTAAAGTAACCAAAGTCATCACCGTCTGCAAGGAAAAACATCTCTCTCTCTCTCTCTCTGTCTCTTCTTCTCTCCCTCTTTCTCTCCCACTCTGTCCTCCTTTCTCTCTCCCACTCTCTCTTCCTTTTTCTCACACTCTCTTCCCCTTTCTCTCTTTCTTTCTCTCCCTCTCTTTCTCTTTCTCCCTCTTTCTCTCCCCTCTCTCCCATGCTCTTTCTTTCTCACACTCTCTTCCCCTTTCTCTTTCTCTCCCTCTCTTTCTCTCCCTCTCTCTTTCTCTTTCTCCCTCTTTCTCTATCCTCTCTCCCACTTTCTCTTTCTCTCCCCACTCTCACCCTTTCTCATATTCTCTTCCCCTTTCTCCCTCACTTTCTTTTCCTCTTTCTCTTCCTCTCTCCCTCTCTTTTTCTCCCTCTCTCTTTCTCTCCCCCTCTCTTTCCCCCTCTTTTCCCCTTTCTCACACACTCTCTCCCCCTTTCTCCCTTGCTTTCTTTTCCCCTCTTTCTCTTTCTCCCTCTCTCTTTCTCTCACCCCCCCTCTTCCTCTTTCTCACACACTCTCTCCCTTGCTTTCTTTTCCTCGCTCTTTCTCTCCCTCTCCCTCCCTCCCTCTCCCTCTCCTTTTCTCTTTCTCCCTCTTTCTCTGTCTCTCTCATAGTGATGGTTCTTGCTTACAATCCAACCAGATATGACCTCAGAGTTCTGTTAATACTCCTCCCAACATCTTTCAGGTGTCTTTCTTCTTTCTTTCTTTTTTTTTTTTTTTTGGTCCAATAGGAGCTACAGGTAGATTTACTAGAACTGAGGCTTGGGCAGCAGTCTTAACCGCCCTGATAATGCTGATTCCAGACTGCAAATCACATATCGAGATAGCAGCTGCTGTTAGCTGCCAAGGAGAAAACATTCATCTGGGCTGCGCCTGTATATTTTCCTCTGTATAGCTAACAGCAGTTATGGATTAGGGAAGGAAGAAAGGATTAAACAGCCTTCCTCACTACGGCAGCTGTCGTCCGAAGAAAATTTCCACAGGAGATCCGATTGAGTTCAACCTTCCTCAACCGTTGCTTTCTGGATACGTTAAGCATGTTAAGGGACAATGGGGAGTTGTAACCCAGCACATCTGGAGGGCACTGCCAGGTTATACAAGGTTGATTTGGAGCTCCGGGATATATTTACTGTTTGGAGCTGCCAGAGAAAAATGTATGCAGAGAAGCTGTAGCAGACATGAAAAGGAATTCTGGAAATTCCCCGTTTTCGAGGGGGTGTCTCTCCAAAATCCTTGCATTTTTATTCCATTAAGAATGTCTCCTATCTTTTCAGCTGGCTTTTTAAAAAAATATTTCCCTCACACAATATTTTGCTTACACACTTTGAACTTGCCTAGTCTTTACTTTTATGCAGTTTAACCATTAGGGCTTCCGCTATACAGGGGGCTCCAAACTTGGCGACTTTAAGACCTGTGGACTTCAACTCCCAGAATTCCCCAGTCAGCAGCATGGTTAGCTGGGGAATTCTGGGAGTTGAAGTCCACAGGTCTTAAAGTTGCCAAGTTTAGATTGTTTAAATTGCCCAGCCTGGACTGATGGGGTTTTGATTTTTAATGTATTTTAATATGCTTTTAATATGTATTTTAACATGTTTCTTACTTGGATTGAGATTGTATATCTTAATTGTTGTGAGCCGCCCTGAGTCCTATGGAGATAGGGCGGCATACAAATCTAACTAAAATAAATAAATAAATAAATAATCCCCTTATTTTGCGCATTGGCAGCATGCATAAAGCATATAGCATCCATACGAAGGATGCTATATAGGATCGATAGAATATCTAAATTCTTCACTGCCTGACGCTTCTCTGGCTCAAATTCACCTCCCCTTTATCCTATGAGAGACTCTCTTGGATATACAGGTAGTCCTCGAGTTACAACAACAACAATTGGGACCAGAATTTCTGTTCAATTAAAGCGGTTATTAAATGAGTCATAACTGATTTTACAATCTGTTTTTGGGGGGGGGGGTTATTGCATGGCTATTAAGCAAATCACTGCCGTTGTTAAGTGGATCGTGGTCTTTAAGCGAATCCAACTTCCCCTATTGACTCTGCTTGTTGGAAGCCAGTTGAGAAGGTCGCAAATAGCGATCTGATGACCCTGGGACGGTGCAATCATTGTAAATACATGCTGGTTGCCAAGCAGGCCAAATTTTAATCATGTAACTATGGGGATCGTTAAGTGCGAAGAATCACTTTTTTCAGTTGCCATCATGGCTTCAAAGAGTCGCTACAAGAATGGTTGTAAGTTGAGGACTACCTGATATATTTGGAGCTGGGATGATGACATCTGACTCAGGGAACAGTATGAAGTGGCGCAGTAGGTCGAAAAAGGATTATACATTCCATAAACGCCTAGGTCATTTTCCCCCCCAATCTGAAGCTGTCTAAATCGATTTGATTACAGCAAGGGTGGGCAAATATGGCCCCTTTATGACCTGTGGACTTCAACTCCCAGAATTCCTGAGCCAGCTTGGCTGTCTCAGGAATAGTGGGAGTTGAAGTCCACAGGTTGTAAAAGGGCCACATTTGCCCACCCCTGGATTACAGTGATCAACAATACCTTCAAGCAAATATAATGGCCAGGCTGATGGAGAAGGATGAGACTTGTAGCCAGAGGTATACAGCTGCCAGGTATAATCCAAAAAAAGTCAAAAGGGAACCCAAACTTTATCTGTTTTCATGTGCTGCACAGAGAGAAAATTGAGTTACGACGTTGAGTTGAGTTCCCCTGTGGGGAAAATCTGGTTGTTGTAGCCCGATGATATCTAGGGGGCGTCAGTTGAAGAGAAATGCTTCTCCCCATAAATGCTTCTCAGCCCCAAATTATTTTCTTCCCATCCAGCAATTTCCCAGGAAAACTATTACAGGGAGTCATTAACTTACGGCCACAATTGAGCCGAAAATTATGTGGCTAAGTGAGACATTTGTTCAGTGAATTTTGCCCCCATTTTACGACCTTCCTTGCCACCGTTGTTAAGTAAATCATTGCAGCATTTAAGTTAGTGACACGGTTGTTAAGTGAGTCCGGCTTCCCCCATGCTTGCCAGAAGGTCGCAAAAGGGGAATCACATGAGCCCAGGATAATGCAACTGTCATAAATAAAAGTCAGTTGCCAAGAATCTGAATTTTGATCATGGTTATGCTGCAACGGTCACTGTGAAGAACAGTCATAAGTCACTTTTTTCAGTGCCCTTATAACTTTGACCAGTCACTAAATGAATGGCTGTAAATCAAGGACTACCTGTATTAGATTTCTACATAGGTCTCTCTGTAAGAGGAGTGTAATAAAAATGTGGTTTAAAAAAAACAAAAACAAGTGTTTTCTCTCTTTTTTTCTTTAGGAGGGTAGTTCTGCAGGTTCTCCCACTGGCCCCAGAAAAATAGAGAATCACTGACCTTGGAGGCAGAAGCAGCAGCTGTAGTACATTCACTCCAGTCCAGTCCAGAACCTGAAGAGAGAAAACTCTGGTTTAGAAAATGAGTTGGTTGTGGATAGAAAGCCACTGGGGACCAGTGGTGAAATCCAATTTTTTTTACTACCGATTCTGTGGGCGTGGCTTGGTGGGCGTGATGTGGCTTGGTGGGTGTGGCAGGGGAAGGATACTGCAAAATCCCCATTCCCTCCCCACTCCTGGGGGAAGGATATTGCAAAATCCCCATTCCCACCCCACTCTGGGGCCAGCCAGAGGTAGCATTTGCCAGTTCTACTTTGAGAAACTACTCAAAATTTCCACTACCGGTTCTCCGAACTGCTCAAAATTTCTGCTACCGGTTCTCCAGAACCTGTGAGAACCTGCTGGATTTCACCCCTGCTGGGGATGACACCCTCATGCCCACTGAAAAAGTGCCACTCCAAATCTGTGCATGCACTACGTCAACTACAAGCAGTCCTCGACCTAGGACCACAATTGAGCCCAAAATTACCAAGGGAGATATATTTGTTAAGTGGCCTCATTTTACGCCCTTTCTTGCCCCAGTTGTTAAATGAATCACTGCAGTTGTTAAGTTCATAACTTGGTTATTAAGTGAAACTGGCTTCCCCGTTGACTTTGCTTGTCAGAAGGTCGCCAAAAGAGACATTGCAACCGTCATAAATACATGCCAGTTGCCAAGTGAATTTTGAACACCCGACCATTGTGTGTGTGTGTGTGTGCTGCAACAGTCGTGTGAAAAACAATCATAAGTCTCTTTTTTTTCAGTGCCACTGTAACTTCAAATTGTCACTAAATGAACTGTTGGAAGTCAGGGACTACTACCTGACTTCCAACAGTATAAGGTCAGAAGAGCTTCTTATAATCTGAGGCAGGCAATCATTTATTAAGAAAGCAGCAGCAAACAGGCTCGCCACAATATTATTGCACACACTCTTTTTGTCCCATAGTCACCTCTTAATCAAACAAGTTTGGCAGACTTTTGAAATGCTACCAATGTTAGTGGATCAAGGACAACACCAGAACAACCAAAGGCTGTTGTTGTTAGTTGCGAAGTCATGTCCAACCCATCGCGACCCCATCAGGGGCAGGTTTCAAAACCCGTTGCTACCGGCTTGCTCATGGGCACGCGCGCTCTCTCACGCACGTGCAGAAGCTTCCGGGCAGGTGGGCGGAGCCTCCCGCCACCATCACTACTGGTTCGCCTGATCTGGGGAGAACTGGTAGCAACCCACCACTGGACCCCATGGACAACGTTCCTCCAGGCCTTCCTGTCCTCTACCATCCTCTGGAGTCCATTTAAGCTCACACTGACTGCTTCAGTGACTCCATCCAACCACTTCATTCTCTGCCGTCCCCTTCTTCTTTTGCCCTCCATCGTTCCCAGCATTAGGCTCTTTCTCCAGGGAGTCCTTCCTTCTCATTAGGTGGCCAAAGCATTTGAGTTCCATCTTCAGGATCTGGCCTTCTCAAGAGCAGTCAGGGTTGATCTCCTCTAGGACTGACCGGTTTGATCTCCTTGCAGTCCAAGAGACTCACAGGAGTCTTCTCCAGCACCAGAGTTCAAAGGCCTCCATTCTTTGGCCTTCTCAGCCTTCAAAGATGTGCCTATAAAAGTCAGAATTTCTGGCCAATAGGCAGGGCCAGTTTGAACTCTGGAGATCATGGATGTACCAAAGCAAATGTCCCTTGGTACATCTATGCTGCTTCTGAGCTCCCTAGTGATGGACAGCAATGATGCTTGGGCTGTCGATGGATGGCTGATGAAGCTGAATATTATGCTTTGGGGCAGAGCTGCCATGATGGCGTTATGGGAAAAGGGAATGCCAGAAGGTCTCCAGAGGGCCAAAGTCAGCATTGGTCATCATCCCTGCCTACCGTATGGGCCACCTATTAGAAGTTACTCTACTCAGAGGAAGAGACAAAGAGTAGAAAACCAACTTGGTGTGCTTTTTTGCTTCTTCTGTTTAAGCTTGGGAGCTTAAGGAGGGCAACAGCACCAAGGTCCAATTCTCTAACAGTCACATCCAATCCCTCCTGCTTTTATTTAACTTGTATCATTTATCACGGACAGATAGTCCTCAACTTACAACCATTCATTTAGTCACCGTTTCAAATTACAACGGCATTGAAAAAAAGGTGACTTATCACCGTTTTTCATACTTACAACTGTTGCAGCATTCCCCAAGATCACGTGATCAAAATTTGGGCGCTTGGCAACTGACTCGTATTTATGACGGTTGCAATGTCCCAGGGGTCATGTGATCCCCTTCTGCGGCCTTCTGACAAGCAAAGTTAAATGGGGAAGCCGGATTCACTTAAGTGTTACTAACTTAACAACTGCAATGATTCACTTAACAACTGTGGCAAGAAAGGTCGTAAAATGGGGCAAAACTCACTTAAGAACTCTCTTACTTAGCAATGAACATTTTGGGCGGTCGTACGTTGAGGACTACATGTACACCACCCATGGGCTACCTATGGCCTGTGCCAAGCTACACACTGGGGGGTACCCGTTGCTGACTCCGATTAGTCACTAAATGTAGGGTCACACAACTGAGCTGAATCAGATTCTTCTTCAGAGTCACTCTTCTAAAATGGACGCACCCTCCAGCCAATGAATTCCCCACCCCTCCCCTCTGGATTCTGCCCAGTATCACGAAAATGGGTACAATTTGCAGTTGACCAACTATATGAGTTCAAAAAGGGCCTTTTTTCAAAGTCAGAGCTATTCTCAGAAATAAATATTTCAACCCTAAAAAGCCAGGGGAAATTTTTCAAGGCCAGTCATGGAAAAGGGATAAGGAGAAATATATCTTCCTCTATCTTTTTTCTCTCTTTTCTTTTTTGGCTGTCCCCATAGCCAATATTTCAAAGTACTCCTGTGGGGGGAAAAAAGGAAGAAAGGGGCCTCTCTTGTGTGAATAAAAGTGGCTTTGGATTTCACCATGGACCAGCCGAAGAATTCACAAGTGCACTTGTGACTCTCCTTTCCCCCACACCACACACACACACATATTATTTCAAAATACACCTTGCCTTTCGGCTCCAATGTCTTTTGCCAAAACCTTTCCTTTCCACCTGTAACCCTTTTCTGCCCACTCATCTTTCCGCACTCCTGATTCTCAGCCACCCCCCCCCCCCCCCCCTGAAACCCACCCTACCCCCCCCCCCCCTCCCCCTTGCCCCCACCCCCCCATCCCACCCCTGGCGATGGCGCACACCCACAGTTGTTCCTGCTAATCAGCCGATGTCATCTGCGAAGTGAAGTCTTTGCTTAAAGAGATTTAGGGCAGGAATCAATAGGAAATTTAAAAATCAATGCGGTTAGTATGAGAAAATCAATGCCGTTTAATCGGCCTGCCGATCCCCAGTCACAACAATTAGAAGGCTGGGATGTTCTACATCCTGTTACACAGCCATTAGCGTCAATATTTGTGTAAGTGATGGCAGGGGGTGGGGGGGGTAGGGAAGAGGGGATCCCCAGACCTTACACTAGAGAACTTGAAAGCTGGAGGAAGCGTGTATTTGGGGACAGAGGAAGGAAATCCTACATCTTCGACCTGCTGTTTCCTTGGAGAGGAGACTACACAGGTTTTTCCTCCGTCTCCCTTTGCCGAGTTATTAAGATCGGCTTTTTCTGGGCTCCCTTCTAGGACCACAGTGAAGTAAACTCTAGGATTCTGGGTCAATTAGAAACCTGGCTTCTGGGCAGGGGTGAAATTCAGCAGGTTCTGACAGGTTCTGGAGAACCGGTAGCAGAAATTTTGAATAGTTCAGAGAACCGGCAAATGCCACCTCTGTAATGCCCCGTCAGTGAGGTGGGAATGGAGATTTTGCAGTATCCTTCCCCTGCCACGCCCACCAAGCCACACCACGCCCACCAAGCCACGCCTACAGAACCGGTAGTAAAAAAATATTGAATTCCACCACTGCTTCTGGGGCAGGAAAAACCATTTTCAAAAAGGATGCTTGACTCTGTTCTCCAGCTAAAGGGCCCTGGGAATGAAATGGGGAGAGAAGGGCTGACTTTGGGGGAAAAGCTGAATGCCGGGCATTGCTTAGGACAGCATTTTGAAACGAACGGGTGGGCAGAAGGCGTTTGCTGTAGCAACAGATGCCCCGGTGCCTTCTTAATATTCATTTTCAGGAGCAGCTGGGATTGAAGAAAGAAAAAGCAAAGAGTTTGAGAGCCGCTCCAGGAAGACGGGAGGATATGAAATGTTGAAAGGGAGTCAACGATTACAGTGAACTCTGGGAAATGGGTGGCTGGCTGGGGAATTCTGGAACTTGACACCCACAAAGTTGGAAATCCCTGCCATAAAGGACCAGGTAGGAGATGGCTGAAGAAGAGGAAGAGGCCTACGATTAGGCCTCAGAGACTGGCTCCCCTCAAAAGGGGGACAATCAGGATGCCCCTTCGATCAGGGAGGCAAAATTTTTTGATGGCTGAGCGCATCATGCTTAAAATCAGAGAGGGGTACACAGCGAGAGGAGCCATGATGCAAATTGAGAAAAGTTGGCATTTTGATTTAGGTTTGGGGGGGGGGTTGGAAGCATTTCTTGGGGTTTTGCCGCACTTTAAGGCTTCTTTAAAATGGGGGCCCAGCGATGCCACCAATTTTTAGTAGGAGCAATCAGAGGCAGCCTGGGGGAGACTGCAAAGAAAGAGTTTGAGGTCACGTGAAGTGTTAGTACCACTTTATAATGCCTTGGTAAGACCACACTTGGAGTATTGCATCCAGTTTGGTTGCCACGATACAAAAAAGATGTGGAGATTCTAGAAGGAGTGCAGAGAAGAGCAATGAAGATGATGAGGGGACTGGAGGCTAAAATACATAAAGAACAGTTGCAGGAACTGGGTATGTCTAGTTTAATGAAAAGAAGGACTAGGGGAGACATGAGAGCAGTCTTCCAGTATCTCAGGGGCTGCCACAAAGAAGAGGGAGTCAAGCTATTCTCCAAAGCACCTGAAGGCAGGACAAGAAGCAATGGGTGGAAACTAATTAAGGAGAGAA